TGTGGTGTGATCGGGTCAGTGCATGATAACACAACAAACTGACGGTCTGCGTCCGCTTATCACCATCAGGGTATGTAAAGAGATAAATAAGATCAACAAAGGAGAAACCAGTTAATCAGAGTGGCTCTGAAAAAGAGGAAGAACCCCCCCACCGAGGCCTGTTACACAACAGCAGATTTTTCACTGCAGACAGGCTGCAGATGACAGCTGTGACCACCAGGGGGCAGCATGGTGCAGGAGGGATGTTCTCCTGCTTTATTGTCCAGCACCCAGCCTGACAACGGGAGTCGCATTTGAAATAACCACCACGTATACACAAATGCATGAATTTAAGTCCGATTCTGCATTTGCCACTTTCATAGGAGTGTCTGTGACCTTAAAATCATCTTACGGCTACGGTGCTTGTGTAACACGTTTGCCTCCATTCGGTTTAACTCATGAAAATGTATTTTTGGTACACAATGTCCTGACTAAATCAGGATTGTCGCATATATAATTACCGCACAAGGGGTGCAATCACATTGTGAAATTGCACAATGGGGCCAAAATGGACAATAGTCTCCATTGCGGGATTCTACCACATGCTGCTATCTTTGCTTTTATCGCGTGTGTGACATCACGGTGGGTGTAACGAGCCTGGGTGTTTATGAGTTGTGTGTATGTGCACACATGGATTTCTGTGAACCCTGCTGTGACCGCCAGCAGCAGCAGCAACAACAACAACAGGTCTGCAGAACCGCAAGCAGGATTTGGGAAAAACAGGCTGGCATGTGAGGAATCCTATCACAAGCTAGTTCCGGGGAAATGCAGGCAGGATGGAGATACAGAAAGAAAAGAGAGAGAGAGACTGAGGAAGAGCGGAGAATTTGAGACGGCGGAGGAAGCGAGTAGGATGGATAACAAAGAGGGGAGGACAGAAAGCAATATGCCAGGTACCCACAAGGGGACACAAGGAGAGAGACAGAGGGGAGGGAGGGAGGTGGAGAGAGGAAGTGGAAGGAAAATTGAGCCTGGAGGGTGTGACTGAGCGAGGGCTGGAGAGATAGAGATTATGGGTGACTGATAGCAAGAATGCACCAGGGATGTGAATGGTCTCGATGCCAGCTGGCACATTCCTATCGTCCAGTTCCAACGCCCCGTGGGGTAAAGAGATGAGGCCCAATTAAAAGCGTGATAGCCGCCATTCCAGCTCCCCTCTTTATCTGCGAGGATGAAAGGCCTTTTTCTCCCCGTGCCACCATGTCTCCCGTCTCTCCCTCTCTGTTCTCTGTCCTTCCTCTGAACCTGCTCTCAGATAACAGTCATGGGCTGAGAGCATCAGAGAGCTTTTCGAACATGTATACGGGTCTGGTCTTTTGGGGAAAGTCTGGGTGGACACTATGTGCATATGTGGAAAGTTCCTTTTATTCGTCATAGTGGCACCAAATTTTGCAAGATTGCAAACTAAAAGTGGATGAACGGTCAAAAATGAGGCTACAAGTGCACAGCAAGATGCAAAGAAATCACATTAGAGCCACAATGTAATTCTGTAACCTTTTTTTAAAAGGCTGCACAAAGTGTTTCTGCCACAAAGTAATAGTTCAAAGGAGTTATCATGTAGCTCTGAGAGGAGGCAAGTCCTTCAAATCCAACCAATTCATTCTCCTGTAAAGCTGTAAATATTTGTCTTTCACATCTGGCTCTCTGAAAGAGGCATTATGGGTGTTGAATAAGTGCTCTGCTTCAGGCCTCACCTCCACCAGCTGCATGAGATTCTCAAAGTACTCCTCCTCGTCGATGGTGAGTTTGCCGTTGTGGTAGATGATGCGGTAGTGCTCCACCTTGCCGTCGCAGCTGACGCACAAGGTGTAGTCGCCAGGATAGTTGGTGCTCTCCCTGACCAGGAACAGGCCCGTCTCTGGAGGGTAGAGGAGCCGCTCTGCCTGCTCGCGAGTTATCTTCCCGTGAAACCAGCTGGTGGGAGGGAGAGTGGGGGAAAAAAATAAAAAATTGTGGACAAAGCAGGAGACCGGTTTACGCAAATGAAAACATTTTTCAGTCTGGTCTATGTACAGACATCATGACGTCAGTCGGCTCCTATTTACAAAGATAAAGAGAGCCAGAATGCTTCAAACTGTCCCACTGTTTGCCATTTTCCCTGCACTCAATTTCTGTTACAGCCATCTGGAGATCCTGAGTCTTCCGCTGAAAGGAAAAGTGAAAAAACAAGAGGGGAAGTAATGAGGAGCCGGCTACAGCGCCTCTAGCCTGATGAGCCCGAGCGGTTTCGGGTGGGGCCGTCTCCTCTCAGGGAGGCAGTGAGAATGTACCTGGACCCGAACAACAGGAAAGGCACGCACGCACGAGCAAGAAGTCTGTGGGGCCGAGTCGGAAACCGACACGCAGACGCTGCAATAACAGGAAAGTGCTAAAACTGCTGGGGCTAAACAGGGAGCGGGACAGGCCTAGTAACCCATTCCTGACCGCGATCAGGGTCACCATGATGAGAACTGACATTAGGGCACATTCTGGAGTTAAAAAAAAAAGAGAAAAAATAAATAATCAGGCTGGTCACAGCAATGCCAGCTTGAACCTGCTGGCTTGCCAGATGACCTGATGTCTACATCTTAAAGGGTTGTGGTGGATGGATTAGACACTCCTCTACCGCTCATCCTCAGAACTCTTCCTTCCTCAGAGTAGCAGCGGCAACAGAACCAGCAGCATATCTCATTGGTTCCCGTGGCCTGCAGATGTGGCAGTGTTTTGATTTTTTCCAAGAAAAAAAAATGAGAAAAACAAAAAACCCAAATGTCTCCATTTTAAAAAGCTCACTGGAACAACATCATGTCATTGATTTAGGCCCATTTGTGTGTGACAGGTCGAATTTGCCACCGGCAGCTTCCACGCATGGCTACTTCCTACAGACGTTGGCTGGTCAATGGGTGGTAATTAACTGCTCTAATTGATTTTCCCTGTTTCCCTGTGGCTGCCTCCGTCACACCCTCCTCCTCAATACTCTGCCTCCTGAGACAGCAGAGGCCCTTGTGGGCAAAGCAGCTTAATAGGGGCTGAGTTGATTAGATCAGCGCAGGCAGCGACTCCGATGGACAGCGGCTCTTTAACTCCCACTAATCGGAGAGCGGGCGCCAAGTATTGTGGTCGGACCCTCGGCCTGTGCACACACTTGCCGCTTTGTCCTCAGAAACCGAGCGCAGTTTTCAGACATGACATCATCGTAAAATTGGAAAAAAGTCACAGAAACGGGGTAAACAACTCCTCTGGTCCAATGTGGAGAAGGAAGCAGGACAGAGGAGTTGAATGCCCCGGTTTCCTTTAGAATAATGCTCTTCCCCGGTCCTGCCACAAGGGGGCAGCAGACGGAGTGGACGGCAGCGAGGCAGTGGTGGATGAGACTGAATCTTCTGCCAAGTGCGAACCAGTTAGCAGGAGCTTGGGGACAGAAGACCACAGCTGAACCCTTTATGTAACGCGGAGCAGAGGGAGAGGTCTTCCCTGGGACATCTGTTAGTGATTCATGACTAAATCTAAATGTCGCTGTGGGGTTACAGCCTGTGGCTCCGGAGGAACAGCTTTTAATGACACACTGGGCAGTGCTGTGATCTCAAAGGAAGCGATGTGAATGGTGGGTCGTGGAAAAAGTTTGCGAGTCAAACTAAAACTAAAACAAAAAAAAAGAGAGAGAGAGAGAAAAGGAAACTCCAGCAAATGTGCATCAGCAATATAAAAACAAAAAAACAAAAAGAAAGAAGCTAATGAAGCTAGGGAAGTAGTTAATAAACGTGAGGGTGTTTTATTCAAATTCAATAGCAAATCAAAGCTGGCACACACACGCTGATGTGTGTTTGCCGGGCTGTCATAACACAAGGCCGGTGTAAAGTTACTATCTGGCCTCGCTGAAAACAAACACGCACACGCAACCCAGCATGCCAGGGCTGGATGACACAGTGACCGAGTTTAAAGCGGTGGACAGACAGTTTGTGCGTGAGCGGCGAGAGGAGAGAGGAGCCAATACTGATGAGGAGACAAAGGGGGTCAAAAGTCTATTTAAATACTTCCTGCCAACAAAATGTCACAGTGTTGAGTCACAACCTGCTGCGAGACTGCCATGCATTGGAATGTCGAGCAGAGGCCTGTTCTCAGTATTCAATGACCTCAACTATTCCCTTAGAGGGAGACCATTTGACTTAAAGCCTACAGATGTAAAGAATAGGGCTGATAGACAGCTCATATACATCCCTGTGTAAGCAAAGACGCAGATAAATTAGTAATTTTCTGGGTCCACGACTATTGGAACTAATCTGATATGATTTGAGACTCTGAAAACTTTACAAAAAAAAGAGCCTCAATCAGCTCCAGTTAGTGTATTTAGGATAATGTTATATTGGAACCAGCTAAAACTTGTTAGAACAACATTCTCCACTTAAAGGTCTTTCTTGTGCTTGACAAAGTTTAAACACGTTAACTTTAGTGGAAAAGACGAACTGTTTGGCGTGTTGTTGGGTTTTTTTTTCTGAGCTCTCTGAACTACTTGAGAGTTGCGTTTTGATGCTGTGGGGGAGGCGGAGGCTCGTCGTTCCCGTCTCCTTTCATTAGCTCGCGCCTCTTGTCAGGTCGTCCTTCTTCTGAATTGCCGCAGTTTTCAAAAGAGCCATGAAATGTCACTCAGATGTAGTGCGCAGATGGTGCTGGCCTCCGTGGCGGTGACACAGATAACAGAAGACACAGTAAACAGCTAAAGACTTTTAAGAGGAGCAACTTCCTGCGTTTGAAGTCAGCGCTATGCTTTTTTCCTCGCAGCGGGGTGCCGAACAGGGCTTTTTTACAACTTGTTTGCACGGTTACTCGCAGAGAGCATGACGCCACGGCGAAAGATGGGAATACGTGTTCATTTAATACGTACTGTCACATTCCTGCATTCATGTTTCCAACGGCGTTTTTACCATAATGGCCAGCTACTTTTCTCGTGCATTTTAAGGAGGGCTTACGCAGATATGGGACACTCACGGCATTAGACTGAGTTTCCCTCCTGACTTGACTCCTTCCCTTTTCTGGACATAGTTGGCTGGAATGGTGCCCTCTCTGCCCACCGTGTTCCTGGCTCTGTACCAGTTTGGATCCTGTAGGAAGCATAAAGGGAAAAATAATTGTTTTTTTTTTAATAAAGCCGTGAATCTAGTTCATCGCCTGAGGAATTCCAATCATTTTAAAATTGATATGAGGTCCTGCAGAGGCAGAGACTGGATCACAGATAAGGGAATTTACAGCGCTCTGCATTTAGTGGAGATGGGAGCGCCGCAGGTTCAATGAGATGCTTCTGGGCATGAGTAAACGGATTGCCGCAGATCTGTAGCACCGACAGAAGCAGTGAGTCGAATGAAAGGCTTTTCGTGCAATTTTGGCAACTGGAATCAAGTTTTTTTTTCTTTTTAAACATAGCTATACTCTTTTTTTTTTTAAGCACCTCTTTGCTTTTTACTCCTCTGTAATACAGTATTTCCTACGGCATAAATAGACCTGACGGCTAACTTATGCATTTTTCACATATGTTCATTTACACGTACAAAATGCATTTGTCTTTGGACTCCATTGTCCTCAAAACATTGCTGATTATTTAAAAAAAGAGGAAGCTGTTCAAATATCTCATCACACATCACTGCACAGAGGAAGTAAATTAAAGCTTCTAAAGACTTTGCTCTGTCAGGTAATAATAATAAGTTTACTGGCAACCTCAGGGTTCTAAGTCACTGATACTTCCTTTAAAATGACGGCATATTGTTTGACACTGGTTTCTGTACCCTGGTAACTCCGATGATGGTCAGTACGTCTCCTTTACAGAAGGGCAGGTCCTGCTCGTTGGGGGTCTGGAAGTTATACTTGGCTACACACTCTGTGCCAGTTGACCATGGTGCCTGCAACGAAGCAGACGGAGAGGAAGGTGCTGTTAACGGAGTGGAGTTGAAACGGTAACAGTTTGGCTGTCAGAGGTACTGTAGGAAGCCATGAAAACAATCAGTTCCACAGCCTTTAGGTCTGCAGAAGCCTTGCTTAGCAATCGTTATCACCACAGTATGTTTTTCTACAATCGCCCCAAAACTCATGACATGTTAGTGAAATAAAATTTAATATTTATGGACTAAAGAGGTAGTATGTGGAGCTCTGTGTGCAATCTTGTAGAGGAGCTTGAAATTTTAATGTTAAAAGTGAGTAATGTATTCATTTAGTTTTTAGCTGAATATTGAGACCTACTCAATATTTGACATGCATGTCAAATATTGACTTACATGGCAATATTTTAGTTTTTTGCATATCAATAAACTAAAATGCTGGATGATCACTGTTCGGGTAGACTAACGATTCCCACAGAGGCTTTCCTGTCATCAAATTTCCTGGCCTTGTAATAATATTCTTTTCCTGTGTGCGTCTAATCTGCCCGGAAAGCTGAGTGGATTCAGCCCGCACCCTTTGATCTGCCTGGCAATGTGATCGAAATCCGGGCCGCATCGCATCAATCAAATGAAATGACAAAGCCGGAGTGCATAAGCAGCAGGTGTGAGTGAGCCGGCAGCTTTATTCGGAGCAGCGTTTTGGTCAATAATGATTATGAGTATAGGAGGAGGGCCCATGCAGGCTGGTGCAACCCAGGAAAACACGGGAAGCCCCTCACTTTTTTTCCCGTGTGGTCATATGACGCAAGCTCATAAAAAGCTTTAAACTTTTATTTTAAGTTTTTATTTAAGTTTATTTTAAGTCTTCCATCAACTTTAAATGCTGGACAGGGGAAAGAGGATGACTCTTTATTAGAGGTATGGTGGACACCTCTAACCTATAGATTGAGTGAGCAAAAGGTTCAGACCCAGGTAGGTAGAGTCAACCCCTTACTGACTTTGACAATGTTGAATAGTTGAAATCTCAGTCATATAAGCATGTACTTTACAACCAGTGTTTTTTTTCTTGTAGCATGTCATCTGTCATACGGATATTCAGAGCGGATGTTGATGGCATGGGAGGACCTACAGATGTCAGCTGTTAATTCAGGGTGGGGTGATGCATACTGAAACCTATGTCACTGTACTCTTAACTTTAACTTTATGGTGATACAGGAGTTACTCCCAGGCATTTACTAAGAATGGTTTTACGTTCTTTATAACAGCCATATACAGGGAATTTTCGACATAACAAAGCTCAGACCCTGATTGATATGCAAGTCGGTTTAATGATTTACTGTATCTAATTCCAGTTTGCTTTCCTGTAGACAATGTTGGGACAGCCATCTGTGGCGTTCTAGTCACAATTCAAATGTTTTTCCTATGTAAAAAGAATAATAACAATATTTCCTCAAAGGAAGAAATCGCTTTTTTGGTGTGTTATGGTCAGACAGCTGTTGCTAGGCAATAATAACCGTCAGAAGGGAAAATATTTTATGGATAAAAATGAGGAGTTTTCATAAGAAGGTTCCTTCATTAAGTATGTGGAGCAGGAGATTTTACACGAGCTGCTTTGAGAATGTTCAGTATGAGTTTGTAACGAAAGCTTTCACAAAAGCTGCCCTGTTAAACAAAGGTGTGACATGTGACAGTGGAGTCTGAATTCATCCCTTTAACCAGCGACAACTGACAGTCAAGCAACTGGACCAGAACCACATGCAAGCACATGCAAGCTTAGCAAAATGGGAAATAGTGGGAGAGAGAATTCCCCAAAAAAGAGATAGAGGTTTGGTGGTCACGTTATTGTTAACAGTACTAACGAAAACCTTACTGCTAGACCTTGATGACTCAACAAAGACAATCGATGAAGTGTTAATAAGTCACTAACTACCGTTTCCTTTTTTGTTAGTTAACTTGCAGTTTGAACTCATGTCTGCCAGATTATCAGGAATCCTACATAGGGATAATAAGTGGAAAGTGCATTAAACATACACACATCTTCAGCCGGGCAGCGCAGATGAACAATGCGGTCACAGTCTGAAGTTTCTTTTTTTACCCTCACGCATGAACACTTGAGATTTCCAGGAGAAAGTGTAGTTTAAGATTTTCTCCTGCGATTGCTGGTTACGCGTATTTGACAATGAGTGGCTTTCTAATGGAGGTAAGCTTTGGTGGCTGAGCGTGGGGGGAGGGGGGTTACAGGAGCGTGCAGGAGGTGGGCGCTGATGCAGAAACGAGGCTGTGGGAGCAGCTTTACTTTTACAGCAGGTTGAGACAGGCAGATGGAGCTCCTCGTTTGTGTGAGGAAAGCTGCTTACAGGTCAGCCGTGAGGAGACCAGAGGAGAAACTTCCCAGTGTTCTCACATTCTGGAGCAGGCAGCAAATGCTACAGAATACTTGTTGCTGTATCATTCCACTAACGTGCTGACGTTTCACTGAAAGATGAAGAACTGCTGGTAAAACGCAGTAAAAGTGGTCAAAGATAAAGGCTGTGACATATGGTCCAATATGGTTCCTTTGACCTTTTATAGAAACAACAACAACATTATTGCCCACATGTCATTGATCATTGGTGACAGAATTCTTAATGTGTGATGTAATGTTTGACTCCAATTCCAAAAAAGATCAATAATATATACATAAAACACTTACATGGATCCCAGACATGACGACGGGGTTGAGCAGCAGGTGTCCTCAGGCAGGCAGTGGTCACTGTTCAGCTCGTACCATCAGAGCTGTAACACACACACAGACACACACACACGGATTAAAAATAACATTTTTAAAAAGAATATAAGAAACACACCTAACAATGCGGCCATTTTAGGGTCTTTCTTTCCACGATTTGTCCCAGCATGAAGCAGTCAAATAACAGCCACAGCCACCACCATGACAGCCATTGAAGAAATATGTCATTGTGTTATTACAACAATCTGAAAAGCCAGAAACCCCGCACATCCAGGAGTTTTAATAGGCTTCTCAGAAGCGGGGTGACTTGGGGTTATTATGAAGCCACAGCACTACGAGACAGCTGCGGTTTGATCTGCGCCCACTCCGCTGAACATCTTTGTTTCTGCAGCTGCTTAATAGCATTTCTCAGGTGGCTCAGATACAGTGAAGTGATGGGGACTATACAGAAGACTATACAGGAAAGAGAAAAAAAATTGAACAGAATGAAACTAGAATATAAAACAGGACACAGCTGCGTCTCGGTTTGCACCTCAGACGAGTTTGTGCGGGCTTAAACGCAAGTGACCAGGAGCTCGTGTGTGAAAGACTGTATTAGTGACCACCTGAGACAGTGCATGGACATGTGCACGCAGAGTTTACCCCGTGTGCTCTTTTTTTTTGCCCTGTGGCATCTGCAAGGTGAGCCTGATGCAATTCCCTCCCAATTCTACAGGTCTTCGAGGTCTGCTTTGTTCTCCTCGAACGAAGATGCCCACGTCAGAGCCCGGCGTTCTCCTGTGCAGCGACAGTAACCGACTTCCACCTCGGGGAGTGACTCCCATTCAAAGCTTCTCACTTCCAGCCAGGGCAGAGAACAGGAAGCTGAAATGAGGAGGGTGGAGAGAGGAGGAGGAAGTAGCTGACGCATATTTTCCAGTGTTTGGGATGAGGCGGGGCGTCGAGGGGCTGCATTTTGGGTGGCTACTTGAGAACAGTTGCCGGTCGCTTTTAAAGCCAATTACAGGAGAGCTGAATGAAGCCTGGGTCACAGCAAACTGTTATCTGCTCACCTAAAAAAAAAAAACCTTTTAACTCTCTCTTTTTTTCATTTTCATATGTAGATATGAAGAAGAGCCCTTTTATCTTCACATAAAGTAACTGGATGCTTTTCCTTAAGGCATTAAAGGTTACTGGCCCTGTTCTCCCTCTGAGCATCTATGGCTGGGCTTCACCGCGCTGCCATATCCTGTGTTGAAACAGGAAACGGCCTAATTGCAGACCACTGCAGATGTGTATGCAAACTGACACAGCCAAATATATCGGAGGCCGGGCTGCTTTGGTGAACCCGGAGGGCACGCGCTTCCTTCCTCCCATGCCATCGTTTCTAAAGCAGCGATGCCGAAACGGCGTGGGGGCTCGCCGGGCCTCAGACAAACTCCACAGCAGAGTGCCCGGAGAGAGAGAGAGAGTGGAGTGGGTGCTATTCTTATCTGGCTTCAGGACCGAGGAATGCCTGCGAGCTATTCCAGAGCTCCGGCCTCACACTGCTCACATCATTCTGTCTCGGTTATCGGAGTGGTTCTCTGAGAGGGCCTCTGAAGACTCAGGACAAGTTTCCATTGTGGACTACAGAGGTTGTCTCACTCTTCAGCTCTGTGTAAAATAGCATGACCTCCTGATAAACAAGAATATAGCTCTGACCCATACACCCCCCCATGGGTAAAAAAAAAGAAGAAGAAAAAAAGACTTATATAGTTTAGAAATCTCCTAAATCATCATCAAACGCAAAATATACCATAGAAAAAAAATAGCTTGTTGGAAAAGTAAATGTAGTTCTATTTCATTAACTCATTCGCTGCCAAAGACGTCTATAGACGTCTTTTCAAATCCAACCGCTGACTGCCAAAGACGTCTATAGACGTCTTTTATGTTTTTCAATGCGAGTGGCTTGGGGGACGATCGGCGAAAGTTTTCCCGTAAATATCGGCTTCTAGACAGAGTATGGACTAACAAATTTACCCTCTAGGTAGCTGTGCCACTTTTGATGGGAGATTAGCATAGATTGTAAGCAAATAAAAACAAACGCAATAGTTCGCTATGAGAGAAATGGCGCCGGTGAGACGCACGTCGAAGAAGAACGGAATGAGGTAGAAACAAAATCTTTTTTCCTGATGAAAGAAGAGAGTCTACTCTTTCTTTTGGTGTGTTCGGTGTTTACATAGTCATAGCACAAACTATTCTGTGGCTCTTGAAAAATCAGTCAAAATTCTAAAAAAAACTCTGGCAGTGAGCGACTCTCTGTTCTGAAAATGGCTGGCAGTCAATGAGTTAAAAATACCGACTCATCTTGCGTGCCAAAGCATAAAAGGACCACCTAGGGGAGGCAGAGGTGGTCAGTCAGAGGTAAAGATTTAAAAAAAAAAAAAGTCAACTGGAGCATCTTCAGAAAGATGTAACGTTCCACCATCGGGCCTAACAAGCTTTCATTAAGTTACAGACAGATCAGAGGAGTGAGTTAGGGAATACAGACTGTGCATGGAGTCTCTCTGGGGTGTTCCTTCACATTAAGGTGGCTGACTTGAGCTGGTTGGTTCATTTGTCAACTCAATTGTGCCAGCCACTGAGCCCGTAGGGCGCAAAGTCCATATCATGGTTATCGCATCTCGTTTTTAAATTTATTTTTATTTTTATGTGGCTTCAGGAGCTTCTTTGAAAGACACTTTTCTGCCAGACAAATGATTCTGAGTGTGTGTGTGTTTGTCCCATGATAAAGGCCTGATCGACATGTAAATACCTAAGTCTCAACTAGGTGGACGGCTACCGGGTACCAGAAGCCCCACACATAAACCGAAAACCCTTCCTTTGTTGGTCAATGTCAGGTCATTTTTCTATTCTGTTGTGCTGCCGTTTTCATCAGGAAAAAAAAAAGAAACTCTGAGTCACTGCTGTCCTTAAACATGACTATGTGATTCATTTCGACTGATGCAACCACTTTTGACAAATACAGACTGAAGTGATTTACCAAACGCCAGGACTCGTCTGATTCCTCTTCACTGCATGTCTGAATGATCTTGTTGCTGTGCACCGTTTCCTGATGCTGCTCACTCTGTGGCAGACGTACGGTAAAGTTCATGACTCTTCAAGGGCAATGGAATACATTTTTCCTGTAAGGCTACGGATGTAGTGGGGACCACATCACAGGGAAATGAACCACAGACTCCACTATATGCAAAATGCCACCGCTTCATCGCTTTACTAAAGGCATAAAAGAGATTTTACAACACACGCAGACACACAAAAGAAGAACAATAGTGGAAGCACAATTTCTGATTAACAATAGTTCACCATGTCACAAAATTAAGCTAATCTACAGATACAATCTTAAATCTCCAACACATAAGGGCTCAAATTCTCAAAGGTCCTTGTGCAGAGAAGCTTGAAGCCTCGTGTACTTTTTGGGGGGGTTTTTTTGCCCTGGAGGTAAATTAGTTACCGGGCGGTCAGCTCACACTGCGAACCCCTCTCGTATTGGCTGACTAAATCCAAGAATCCCAGGTCTGTTTGTCCTGGACACCTATGATGAAGCAGCAACTGTGAGAATGTTTGGCTGGTGGCAGCTCTGTCAGCATTCCCTGGAAAATAAAAAGCTTAGAGGGAAAGCGCCAGATAAGGCTGATATTTAACAGAGAACTCTGCTCTCAAATCACTGTGAGAAACCTTTTGGTTATGTAATTCTCGACATCAAGATGGTTCCAGGACCTGCTATAGATTACAGTCTTGTATCAAGGCTTCTATTGGAAGACCTCTTTAATTTAAGGTGACAATTAAACTTCAGGATATATGCCTGTTCAAATTAGCATACTGGGAGTTATGCAGAAGTTAATTCGGTTTATTGAGGAGGCATTTAACTCAACAAAAGACATTATTATGAATCTAAAACAGTAAATAAAAACATTCCTCTCAAATTCCAAGTCTGGTTAGTAAAGTAATGCCACACAAGTAACTGCATGCAGAGCTTGTGCTTGTTAGAATTTAACCATTCAATGTCTTTTTCCAAGATTCTCCTCTTTAACTTCTCCTTCTGGAACTTTGTATGAGTGGACTATTGTAGAATAAACTGATTTAGTTTCGCTTTACAAATGTGTTTGCAAACTTTCTCTATTTCTTTTGGTGAAGCATATGGCCTAACTTGCTTTAAATCTGCCTAAATCTGCCAAGTTTTCAACAAAAGACCAAAGCTTGATTCTTTTATCCTTCTTTTTTTTTTTGTCCGTCCACATGCGGCTTTCTCCTAGCCAGCAGCAAGCAGTATAAAAACTAATGTAACTCAAATAAGGAGGAGGAAGGGGAGGAGGGAAGTTAACTTTCCAGAAACACACAGTAGCTGAGCTTTGATTCAGCAAAATGCAGCCAGGGCTGGACTTAAACCTCACAGTATGAAAGAACCCCAAATTTCTGCTAGGACTGAGTCAATCACCCAATCCCAATGCATTCTAGTTAGAATTGTGGGAATACCTGAATTGAAGACGGCAGAAGAAGGCAGGAGTAGGTACGCCCTGTGGATATTAGATGAGGCGATTTTACCAGTGTTGGAGACATATTTTGCCATTTAGGTGTGGGCATGTCTGTTTTAACTTTCAGTGCCAGAATCATCCATCCATTATCTATACATTTCTGTGTCGTGGATACAAATAAAACCAGCGGCAAAATGGAAATGTGACGTACTGGGTATGCAAATATACGGTCTGTCTAAGTTTACAAAGAAAAAAAATCTACCCAGGGCTGGAGGCGCTGCAAAGCAGACGGCATGGAACTGTCAACAACAAATGACTCGTGGCCGTGTCCCATTTCCCCATATGTAAAGCACCTGACAGTAAGACTGTTTGCAGTGGCAAATGGTGGATGTATGTGAAGCGTGTAAGGTGAGGTCTGTGACAGATCCCACACCGGCACAATATCCTCAGGCCTGGAAATGTGTCCCTGCAGAAACGGAGGAG